GGGTCTCGGCCTCGCTGCTCATGGTTGCGGTGATGGTGACTGGGGCCGGCTGCGGCAGCTGCGGCTCCTCCCGGGGTGTGATGGTAACTAGGCCGGCGGCGGCGGTGGGGCTGCTCAGGGCTCTCTGGGGTCCGCTCTCCGCTCCCGCTACCGATCGAACTAGCGAGAATGGCGGGACGGGCGGGATAAGCCCTGCGATCGACCCGCCCCAAGCATCGTTCGCTGGCCAGCGGTGCTGTCAATCTCACCACCTGACCCCGATTCCTGGCCTCTATTGGCTAATACTTTATCACTCCTCCACTCTCATTGGCTCTTAGGCGGCTAATTCGGCCGACCTACAACCGTTCCTGCCTCCGCCGCCGCCATAGAGACCGGAACTAGAATTAGAGTAGAGGCACCACGAGAACCATAGAGTACCCGAGAGGACGGGCAGAGTGAACGTGACTTTCACGAGGCTGCAACGCGGGCGAGCGGGCGGGCCTCACGTCCAGGGTTAGGTCCTGGCCGAACGAAGAGGACCGCCAAACGCCTGACCCGGGGGCTTGAAAGAGGACCCGACACTTTAGCCTCATGTGGAGGGAAGGCCTTCCTCTCTCCCTGTTTTAAAAGTGGTCCTTGTGACCTTAGACTGCGGATTGGGCCGTGTTTTCTATGATGGCTGTGTACTCTCAGCACAGCGAGGGTTTCTGGAACAGACTTAAACGTATGCATTCAAAGAGCGTCCGTTTTGGCGGAGCACCTTGGAGGGACCACGCAGTCCGTCAGACCGCCCCTGCTCAGCATATTTAGGGCGGAGGGCGGTGGTGTACTCCACGGGGACCTGCCTTCTGAACCATCTTACCAGGCAAAGAACTGTCTCGTTAAGTAGTCACGTCTTTCTATATTGGCCACAAATCAGATTTAATTTCAGTCCACGTTTATTGAGCAAGCTGGGCATTTTCCTTGCATTTTATCCGTACAACACCCATGTGAAATAGGGATTACTATCCTCATCTCACAAATGATTTATAATTGAGGCTGCCACCTGATGTAGCTGAAGTCCTCCACCTTCATTCGTTCTTTATTAAGGGTCTATTATCGGCTGGTTCACGACTCAGTTTCTGCCTTAAACTCAGTCTAGGGATGAAGGCAGAAATTTAAATACCCCAAACTCCAAACACTCCAGCTTTGCAAAAGCACAAAGCATTTTGGGAGTGGAGGTGGGAAGAAGGTGGAGTGCTGACTCCAGGCACTAGGAGGTTTATGCAAAAGCCTAGAGGCAAGAAGACGGGGTCTGGGGGAAATAGAAGTAGTCTAGTTAGACTAGAATGAAGACCTTGGGTTAGAGGTAGGCAGGTTCAAATTAGGAACATTTTATTTGAAATTATCCTAAGGGCAACACTGAGAAGGGTAATTTTAAAACTGTAAGTAGGGAGTGGCAAAAAATTTTTTTAATGGCTACTAAGTGTGGGGCGCCTGGGTGGCTCAGTCGTTAAGCGTCTGCCTTTGGCTCAGGTCATGATCCCAGGGTCCTGGGATGGAGCCCCCTCATCAGGCTCCCTGCTCGGCAGGAAGTCTGCTTCTCCCTCTCCCACTCGCCCTGCTTGTGTTCCCTCTCTCGCTGTGTCTCTGTCAAATAAATAAAAAAAAAAAAGGCTACTGAGTGGAGAAGGGGTTGTAGAGGGACAAAATGGAAGTAGACAGTAGGCCAGTGCAGTATCATCTAGACTGTCAATTCCACCTCCTAAAGGCTTCCCTGAATCAGTCCTAAAAATCTCTAAATGTCAAACCAGAGTCTCTCATTCCTACTTCCATGACACTAGTATAGGCAATCATCTATTGCTTACAGCAGAGTAGGCAAACATTTTCTCTAAGGGCCAGATAGCAAATATTTTAAGCTTTGCAGGCCACACGATTCTGTTTCAACTGCTCAACCTTAGAGCCTGAAAGCAGCCAGACAATAAACAAGTGCACCTGTGTTCCAAAAAAACTTTATTTGTGGACACTGAAATTCGAATTTCGTATTTTTACATATCACAAAATATTCTTTTGTTTCAACTATTTAAACATTTAAAAAACATTCTTATTCTTAGCTTATGAGCCACTGAAAAACAGGGAGTGTGATCTCACCTGCCAACCACAGTTTGCTGACCCCTCACTTTAGAGCACTGCTGTGACCTCCTAGCCACTCTCAACCTCTTTCTTCCTCTAAGATTCTCCACCACAATATCCAGAGTGTTCTGAAAACATCTATCTGATCATGACAGTCTTATTACTACTGCCCTTAGGTTTGTCCAAATTCCTTATTGTGGTTTACAGGACTCTGTAGGACTTCTCCAAACTTACCTCTGACACTTCTTTCACATTCCTCATTCAACCTTCCAGGTGATCTTTGAGCCATTGCTTCCTTTGAGCTATCACATACTATTCCTTCTACATGTAACTCTTCCTTTCTCCCTTCTTCTCTTTTGACTGCTTAACTCTTCATCCTTTGGGTCTTGCCTCAGATGTTACCTTGTTAGGAGACCCTCCTATCCTAACACACTCCTTTGCATTAAATCTTCCTCTCCTCAGACTGAGTTCCTGAAGCATCTGGACTAGTACCTGACACATAGTATCTTAATAATTTTGTTCTATGAATAACATGGTACAGAAAATGGACTGGAGAAGGTACTGACAGCAGAGAGGTTGTCTGGGCAACTGCACCAGTAATCCAGGTGAAAAAGGCTTGCAGCAGTAATGTGTATGGACAGAATAGGCAGATTCTAGAGCTGCTATTCAGCTGTTCCAGCTCCAGATAACTTTTGACTGTTAAAAAGAAAATGTTTCCTCAAAAGGCAGTTCTGCCAACACTGGGGACATTTAAAAGTGTGCCCTATAGGTTTGAGACCTTTTCCCCAAAGTGGACACTTAGAACAATGGGAGCAGCACCTCTGAATAAATGAGCAACCTTTGCTATGTAACTGCTTTGAAGGGATGGCTTCTCAAACAGAAATATCAATTCTGTAACATTTGTCTTTAAAATGTTACTTAAAAGTATCATTACTTACTTACCCAGTTATTTCATAAGTTCCCTTCATGCTCAACGAGCAGAAAGATGAGTTATTTAAGAAATGAGTTTCCATACCCCTGCAGAGATGGCACTGAGGCACTAAAGGATAAATAGTTCCTGCCACAATTCAACCCCTGCGCCAAGGTGGGAGCTTTCCACTCCAGTTTTGCTAGCCCCTGCCACAGTGCCCAGCATGGTGACCAGTTTAGACAACTCCAGGGCCACCCGTAAGTGATATGAAACGCAAGGTTCATTCCAAGAATCTCCTTTGCAAAATAATGTTCACCTTGTCCTCCATCTCTAATAGACTCTGGCCCAAGAACATAGTTCCTCTTCCTAGAAAGCCCCCAATCTGTCAATACTTACCTCAAATGTTACCTCTTCCTTTCATGCTACCCCCCTCCCCCCACAGCATACCATTGTACATACCATTCATGCAACAGGTATTTCTTGAGCACTTACTAGATACTTACCTTTTCTAGGTGCTGGGGGACATAGCAATAAAACAAAACAACAAAACCGAATTTCCTGCCTTCCTACTAAGGGCTCACATCTAATACCACACTGAATTGAAATGGGCCCATCTCCTGTACGTCACAAGCACGGGCCACATCCTACTCATCTTGCAGCTCCTGTGCCCAGGACAGAGACTGGCCTAGAATGCAGGTGCCAAGTGTAACTGAATTCAAATGAATGGCCCATCACGTCAGCTCAGGATCTGAGCTGCTCCTCCTCCTTCCTCTCTCTCTATAATTCCACCTTGTCTAGTTATTTAAAGATCTCTCCTCCACTAGGTCAGTCCTTTCTTCACTTTGTCCCTGAACCCTGTTTACTTAACTATAGAAAGTTGCAGGTATCTATATTGTAGAGCCCTTATATATCTCACCAGCTCCCTGTACTCGAATACACTGAAATGGCACTTTTAACCAGGTTCTATTCTGTCACAGAATTCAGCTCTGTGCTACCTCTCTGCCACTGCCAGGAGTTATGAGTCATCCCTGCCCATAAGCCAAGAGGGAAAAAGTAGGAATGGCATGGAAATGGCCTCATGAAAGGAACACCAGGGAACTCTCTTTACCTCTTTAACATTATGCTCGGTGGGATCTTTCTGTGTTGGGCTATGTCCTTTCAAGATAAGCATTTTCCAAGGCATGTTACTGTTTACAAGTTGCTTTCATATCCATTTGTTTATTTGACCCTTTCAACAATGCTATGAAGTAGATAGGTATTATTATCCCCACTTTACAGATGAGAAAACCGAGGCTCTTCAAGGGGAAGATAATTTCTCAAAACCTCTACTGTTTAAAAAATGACCCAATATTGAAACCAAGATTTTTGAGTAAATTATTCCCACTTCATCATGATTGAGTAGACACATTCTACCAAATGGTCTCCAATCCAAAAATATCCCATCTTAGTGACCCTTACCCCACAGGTTCCAGAACCAACCACACAGAACCTCCTGGGAACATCCTTGGAATAAATTGTGCTTATAGCCCTGGGGCTTTGCCATCTTTGCCCAATCAGCTGGAACCCAAGAGGGGACTGCTACAATTGCTTGCAAGTCTGAGGCATCACCTAACCACAGTGACAGTTTGGCTGTGGTCCATGCTAGCCTCAACAGCCAGTCCTTCTAGCTGAAGTATGAGGAGCAAGGCTATCATTACAACTGTTTAAAAACAACACGTGTTGGGGTACCTGGGTGGCTCAGTCGTTAAGCGTTTGCCTTCAGCTCAGATCATGATCCCAGGGGTCCTGGGATTGAGCCCCGCATCGGGCTCCCTGCTCCGTGGGAGGCCTGCTTCTCCCTGTCCCACTCCCCCTGCTTGTGTTCCCTCTCTCGCTGTGTCTCTCTCTGTCAAATAAATAAAATCTTTAAAAAAAATAAAAATAAAAATAAAAACAACACGTGTACCAAAACAAAACAAAACTTTATTTACAATTGAAAACTTAAACAGAAAATCTTGGGTTCTGAATCTGTGACACTTCCAAGGTCTCTTGATCAAAAAGGGCCGCAGCAGGCAGGGAAGCAAACACAGGGGCCAATCCGGATTATTTTACTCAAGAGCGTGACCCAGAGCAAGGGAAGGCCTACAACAGCAGAGAGGTGGAGGTCGGTTAGGGACGGACGAGATAGCAGCTCAGAGGCACAGGAAGGGAACATTCCATGAGAGACAATACTCCCATCTCTTCTCTACACTCCTAACCTGCTTTTCCCAAAAGAGCAGAACTGGTCTGACTCTTGCCCTCAGTCAGACCTTTGGTTCCCTAGGATTAAATTGAGAGGTATACTACACAAGAACCGAAAAGAAAGAAACTAACATTTTATGGCCACACATATCATCTCATTTATTTACCCTTCACAAACTCTGTGCCGTCTATATTATCTGTAATCAAGCAAAAGAGGAAACTAGGGTCCCAAGGGGTTTAATGGCTTGATGGGGTTTCCTGGTCTACTTGGCTCCAAAGTCTGTGTGTGTTTTTTGCCAGACCTCAATGGCTCTCTGTGGAGCTCTAGAACAAAGAGCAATCTTTCTTCCTTGCAGGTCTTGGTCCCAGTGTTACACAGAAAGTAAAGTCCACACCCTTTGTTTATGGCCTTGGTCGTTAACTTTACTAAAAGAACAGAGTGAGTACACTCAGAAACTACTCTGTCTCCCTCCCCATAAACAGCCACGCCCCTTTCCCTCCAAAGGAAAGTGCATCCTGGTGTCATACTGCAGATTCAGACAGAAGTTGAAACCTGGGCCCCCAAGCAGAATGCACAGAACTGCATAAATGCACTTTATAAGTTCAATGGTGCCCTAGGACCGAAGCTCTATCCTAGACCAGGCACTGTGTTAGTCAGCATGGTCCCTGCCTCAAGGAGTTCCGTCTACAGAAAACCAAGCCAACACATTTGTGATATGCTATGTTAGATGCTGTATAGAGAGATGAACCAAGTACTGTGGAAGCACCCAGGAAGGCACTGCTGACTGCGTCTAGACCTGGGAGGAGACGGAGGGACCAGGGAGTGATTCAG